CCCACTCCTGCACAGTAAGAGGTTCACACAGCAAAATGGGAAAACTTTTTGCAGAATATCATAGCAGTCTCAAACAGTAGGGGCCAAACTTTTCAGCAGGCATGCCGCAAATCCTCCTTGGTGCTACTCTGATACCCTTCCCCTGCCTGATCTGCTGCTCTGTTTTCTGCTTCCTGCCCTATCTGCTGCTGTGCTGCCTGTCCCCTCCCCAATCTGTTGTGCACCATGCACAGAGGCTACCCATGCCACTTGTGGCACATGTTCCACAGTCTGGGCACCCCTGTTCTAGATCAATGAATAGGCCCTGTCATGCCAACAGTATTGTCTAATGCAGTGACGATCAACCTGTTTGACAGGTGTGTGAAACATTAGCCCCACCCCCTCCTCGAGTGTCATTCTGGTCCCCTTACCCTGCCCAATCCACTACTTTGCTTTCTGCTCCGTGCCCTGGACTCCCTGACTGATCTGCTGCTCTGCTTTCTATTTCCTGCCCTATCTGCCAGTGTGCTGCCTGTCCCCTGATCTGCCACATGCCACACACAATGGCTGTCCAGGCCATTTAGGGCACCCATGCCACAGATTGTCACCCGTGGTATAATGTAACACTTTGGACCATTGCTGAAGAGGAGGAAGAAACCAGCCCAGACCCACTGGTCAAAATTGGGAAGGAAGTCTCAGAAGAATAGACTGAAAAGTTTTGACCTGGTAATCGTATTCCACCCTACATCTATTTCCATTGCTTCTTACTCAAAAAATAATGTTCCACAGTCTCAGATTATAAACACTCAGAAACTGTAAGGGGCAGCATTGGGCTGTCCAGATCCACTGCAGGATACAGCCCTACACACACACACACACACACACACACACACACAGAGGACACAAAAGCTAGTCTTAATTTTCTTCTCAAATAGTTCCTACTCATTGCACAGGGCTTCTCCCTATATCAACCATTTCCCTGGGTATGACTCAGGCATTCAGTTGCATAAACTGGATATTTGAACGACAAAGGGACAGTCCAGCAAAACAGAAAAATATGAATAAAAGAATGACCATTTTCCTTTGGGCGACCTAATCTTGTAATATATGAAGTTTAAGACAAGCAGAATAAATGGAGGGGGTGAGAGCTAATCCCAAAATGCAGCATCTACGCCAAAGAAGGACCCACCTACTTGGACTGAATGAACTACACTCAGGTCTCTCTTTACATGAATTCATTTTGTGTGAATTCGCTTATAGGCGATGACCTTATTTATACCAGAAATTTGCTTTGTGCCAGAAAAATCCAATCTTATGCGAAGTTGGCCGGCAATGAGCTCCCTGCAGGCTGGCAGAGTTCTAGCTTGCAGGGAGCTGGGAGGAGGCGGAAGGCAGGCAGTGAGATGGGGGCAGCACGTGCATGTACAGGACACACACGTGGCCCCAAGTAGCTTCAAGGGCAGCTCCAGCATGTAAGGGGAGCGGGGTGGAAAAGGGAGATTGAGGCCTCTGTAGGGAGGGAGCTGGGCAGGGCTGGGGCTGCTGTCCAGCTGGGGGTGCAGTGTGCAACTGCAGGGCCCCAGCAGAGAGCAGGACGGAGCCTCCAGTGGCTTACTGGGGGAGGGGGAAGGCCAGCTCCCTGCTGCCGCACACACTTCCAAGGGGAAGGGGCGGACACACAGGTGCAGTGGGCCCTGGCCTCAATCCTGGGCCCGGCTGGGCTCCTCTCCCTGCCTGGTCCCAGTGCCCCGCACCCCACTGCCCTGGCCACGCGCCTCCTGCGCCCCTCAAAGAGCAGCAGCCCCAGGGCAGCACAGGACGAGCAGACAGCATTCCCTGCCACCCTGCTTCCCTGCTCCAGGTGCCTCTCCAGCCTGGCGGGTGCAACCTAGCAAGGCTGGGAATAGTGGGGCTGTACGGAGAGGCTACTGCACCAAGTCATGCCTGCCAGGCTCGAGGGCAGGGAAGCAGGAAACAGCAGGGCCGCACGGAGAAGGTGCTTGCCGCATGAGGCCTTGGTGAAGCGCCTGCTGCGTGAGCCGCTGCTTGCAGCATGGGCCGAGCACCTTCTCTGCATAGCCCCACTGTTCCCCTGCCCTCGAGCCTCTGCAACCCAGCGGGCATGACCCAGTGCAGCAGGGAGCTCGTAGCCTCTCCGTACAACCCCACTGTTTTCAGCCGTGCCAGGTTGCACCTGGTGGGATGGAAAGGCACCCAGGGCAGGGAAGCAGGGCGAAGCCAGGAGCAGCAAGCAGCCGGCGTTGCCTGCCACCCTGCTTCCCTCGCCCAGGTACCTTTCCAGCCCAGCCTGCATGCGCCACTGTTTGCAGCATGGAGCTCACAGCCTCTCCCCGCAGCAGTTACTGTATTGTGTGATTACTGGTTGAATTCGTCATGGTTTGGAGGGGCAGGAGAGTGAGGCTGGTATGTATCCCGATTAATTACACGTAATAATGGATTTGCTTTATGCGAATTCGCTTTATCCAAGGTTTTTTTGGAACGCAACCCTTGCATAAAGAGAGACCCGAGTGTAGTAAGCCATCTCCGCTCCATGTATTGGGTGCTCATGGGGCTATCTTACCTGTAGGCTCCACACCTAGCCTTAGTGACAAGGTTGGGGGGGAGGGGAAGGGATGTTACAAGTTTGCATTATTGCAAAGGGGGGAGGTAAATATTAAGATAATGCTCATCTTGCAATATCATTACAAACACTGAGATGTTTTTATTTACTACTTCACTTAAGGACCTAGCCCCTAAACATGATGGTTAGATGAGATAGCTAGGTCTCAGCTTTCTTTATTAAAGGTTAAGGAAGTTTCTATCTCCCCAGGCTGCAGAAAGTATCAAAAAACAGCCTAAATTCTCAAAAACAAGAAGGTAAAAATAAACCCAAAATGTATTTAAAAATCTTCGTGGTTTTTAAGCTGATCTCATGACTTTTTAGTTAGGAACTTGACTCCTTAATGTTAGCAATTCTGCAAAAGTAACATTTTCCAAAAGACTTGGCCCCTTCTTTAATAAACATAACACAATCCCTGTCTCCTTGTTACTTATCAGAAAGCCTGAAGGCTTAAGCAGAGGATAGACAGGAGCCATCTGCTTCTCTCCATGCAGTGTAGCACAGTTTCACCAGAAGGTGTGATTTAAAACCAATTCAAATTCAATGGGTGCAAAAGGTTGTTTTAACACTATTATGTCAATACCTGCAATCTCTAGCCATTCAATTTTCCCCCAAGCCAGGTTTGAATTCAAAGAGCATCAAATGGTCTTTCATTACCCTCTGCTGGTCACGGCCTGATAATGCAATAACAATGCAGCTGCACCTGATGATCATTGCTCCAGCACATGTGTTACTGGAAGATTCATCAGTAAGGGATGTGCTGTGCTTGCGGGGGTTGTGGGGTTGGGTTTGCTAATCAGCCCAGTGTGATTACGGAACAGGTTAGCATGGTGACTGCTGAAAACCCTTCTGTGATTTCTGAGCATTAAGGAAGCAAGTTCTGCTCCTCAGGTGGAAAAAGCATTTGTACTGTTGTGACACAAGGTTCATGGTATTCCCAGAAAGGAGAGATGACTTGGGGAGAGGGACTTCTGATACCACCACTGAGTAGATTAATCCTCTTAATGCAGTGCAGCAGTAGTAGACATTTGTAAGATGATGTCAGTTTAGTAATATGTGAGGATTGGACTATGGAAAATACTTCTTTACAAAGGTGTGTGGGGAGCAGACCGAGTCAGAGTTGTGTGTGCAAGCAGTTGTTGTGCTCCATGTTCATCAAGTTAAACCCTTGCGCTTGTCCCTTCCCTCTCCCCTCAGTCTTTTCCATGGGTGCAGGTGCTCTTCAGTTGCAAGTATCCATTGCTTCTCCCATCAGTGTGGGCACCAACAGCTCTTTCAACCTCAGTTTTTCCATGAGATTGGCCATCTACAAAGTACCTTTGCGGCAGAGCCTGAGAACACAGCTGCCGTCCTTGGAAACAGGGAGCTTTTCTCTCTTCTTGCCTCTTAATCTTACTGAGGCAGATCTGGTAGAAGATAAGGAACCTCCAAAACATCAGCATACCTTCAAGGGCTGTTCCCTGTAATGTGAGGGTCGCTACAAGGGGTTAAGAAAGATTTGTAAACTAATCAGCTTGTATGACCTAGTGGGAAAGCCAAGACAAATCTTAAGGGCATACATGCTTCTGAATGGAGGAACGGATCTTTCTTTAATGAACGGCCTTCAGAACAGACAACCAAGTTGCTCACTGAATTCCTTCTACCGTTACAAGTTATACAAAATCCTCTTTTCTTTCCTGGCTTGAAATGTCGTGTACAGTTATCCCATGCTTATAAGCAACTTGGATTTCACCCCAAAGATGGCTGTATTTCACTGGCAGAAGAAACAGCCTTTTAAACACCCATTCCTTACCCAGCAAGGCATAATTAATGTGTAAAAATGTATAGAATATAAGGTGTATAAAATGTTTTGAGCTCCATGGCTGAAAAACTGCCAAGTACTATTAATTATTATGTCATTTAACAAAAAGAGGTTATGCAGGCAATGAGGCTGGGAGGAAGAGGGAATCTAATATTTATGTAATTCAGGCAGAATTTCCTTCCCAGAATGAAGAACAAAGAGCCAGCAGGAAGAGAATTAAACACAGCAAATCAACTGAAGGGGGACCACAACTGTGTATAGCGCAAGAAAAAGCAAGCGGAGAAACGCAACGAGATTGTGCAGAGTCAAAAGGATGCTTGTTATATCCTGGCTCTCTAGATGGAGCTCTGGCTGTTGTGCAGGATCTGCTGTTAGATGGGGTCCATAGACTTCAGAGAACTATTATACGGTCTCTCTGGAAACACTGAACCTTTGAGCACTTGCTAGTTCATTTGGATCTCTCCCGACCTCAAGGGCAAGCACTGGCACAGCAAGGTGATGTAGTAGAAAAACTAGAGGTTTATTTTTTAATAAAATACTTCATTACAAAATAACCTTTTTTTCCACCATGCAAAATAACCAAGTATTGCAACTGACCAAGGGAACAGTGTGGTCTTGTGTAGGAATAGGTGCTTCCCTACCCTGCAATAGCCCAAGCAAGGGATAAAGTCACTGCATATCAGGCTAATCCAGAGTATTGCTTTAAATGGGCACTGTGCATTTCCTAGTCGGATCTCAGAAAGCCCAGACCTCAGCACTGAGGGTGAGGCTACACATTACAATTAGACCATATCAAGGGCACTTCAAACTGGAGCACCCGCACATTAAGTCTCATTAACAAGTGTTAAGTGCCCTCTAGGCCTCTTAAAGTTACGCCACTTCTGGTGAGGATCATCTTTGAGCCCTGCTATGTAGCTCAAATTTACCTTAACTTTTGGCTGCTTCATGGAGATAAAACAACTGATTTGCAGTCCTTCTGCATCCAGTAGGTACCACTCCCAGCATGGACTAGCAATCCTCTGGGACTCTACTACCCTGGGCTGACAGCTGGGGACAGCCAGGCAGCATCGGAGTGGGGAGGGGGTGAAAGGGGGCAAGGGGAGGGGGTCATGGAGAGAACAAGTGGGAGGGGGCACTGGAAAAAAAGGAAGAGGAGCTGCTGAGTGGCTGAAGAAGGGGAGGAGAGGTAGGCCTGGGAGGGGGGCAGAAAGCTGCTGTGAACAGCTTCTTGTATGCCCAGTTCAGGCACATGCTGATCCCACTGGGCCCCACAGCTGCCCAACAGCTGCTTGCCCACCCACCCCCACCTTTCCCCTCCATGGAGCTGCAGGCAGATGAGTAGAGAACTGAGAACCACGGGAGAGTGAGGAGCTGGGGTCTGATCTGGGCTGGCAGGGGCCTGATCTTAGAGCAAGGGTAGGCAAAATGCAGCCCAGGGGCCGGATGCAGCCCGCCAAGCCATTCTACCCGGCCCGCGGAGCCCCTAAAAAATTGAGAAAATTAATATTAATCTGCCCTGAGCTGCCTGTCAATGCAGCCCTCGATGGCTTGCTCAGTAAGCAGCCCTCTGCCCAAAATAATTGCCCGCCCCTGTCTTGGAGCCTATACTGCTGCTAGAGAGCCGGCAAGCAGGGCAGGCTGTTGAACTCCAGTTCACCAGCTTTCTAGCAGTGGATCAGAGATGTGCACATTAGAGAGGGTATTAATCCTTAATGTGCAACCGCTCACAGCACGTGCTAACTTTAACACGACCTAACATTCCCGAGAGTTTGTGTGTGCTAATTGTAACATGTAACCACACCTTCACGCTTTACTGTGATCTCATTTGACAAAAATCCCCAGCCCATGGCTCTCAGATAGTCGTTTCCCTGCAAAACCTTCTAATAGTGCTGGCAGTCATAGGAAATCAGAACATTAAAACTGAGGTTGACAGGGAAAACAAAGGACAATAACTCCCACAGTGCTTTAGCTGTTGTTGTGCATGGGCTAGAGAACGGGTGGGGACCACTGTGTTACACTCTACTGTCACGTCTTGTCATGTGAATTCAGGTGCTGCAGATTCCTGACTAGAGATCAGGGTGGTGATAAAACTAGTACAGTTGGGACCTAATCTCTCTCCATCTCTGGCTCTGTCTGTTGTATTTGACCCCAAAAGTGCCAGCACACAGGGGTCAAAGAAAAAGGCAACAATGGAAGTTTCCCTCCCATGCGATGGTAACTTTAATGATGCTGTTGATTGCCTGCAGGTTACTTGCAACTATCTAGCAACTTCAGGAGTTAAAAATACCTCCAGTAAGAGATACATTCAAGGATATGTGATATACAAGTCACACTCTAACCCCTGAGCTGCAATGCAGCCATTCAGCCTCTGAAAACTGGGCAGGTGGCCTTGCAAAGGTATGTGGTTTCTTGCAAACCACAGTTTGCTTAAACACAGAAGAGGTTTTTCATCTCAGTTTAAGATGCAGAATGGTGAGTGCAGTTGGTTTGGTCTGGGATGGCCTGATGAACTCAGGGCATTTGCAACACATTACAGAGGGCAGAGGAGGAAGATATAGGGTCTTCTTTCAGTGTGGATCCTGCCAAGAAAGAAAGACGTTTTCAGTAAAACAATCCCTAATATTTGGGTCCTCCTCCCCCTCAGAGATCCCAGTTGCACAGCTAAACTTTACTTGAGCTGACTGCCACCAATAATACTGAACATACTTTACACTTTCACTCCAGATATTATCCTCACCTCCACTGATGCAATAACTACTCAGTTCACATAAGGCAGGGGTGCTCAGCCTTCAGGCCAGATTTGGCTTGCAGAGCCATGGCATCTGGCCCACAGGGCTCCCCATGGGTTAGGAAATTTGACAGCAAGTGTCAAATTAATGACAAATTATGACAATTAAAACCACCTTGCCCCCTGCCAAATTCCAGCCCCCCCCCCCCCCCCCCCCCCAACGGGGCCCAAGCCCCCCCTCCCCCCACTACAGTGGATCAGAGCTGGGCTACACCCCTTCCAATCTCTACACTTCCTCCGATCTCTATTACATGGTCAGATTGGGGCCAAGCCATGCCCCCTCCACCTGCAAAGCTGGATCAGAGCTAGACTGACCCCCTGTCCTGCTCTGCACGGCCAGATGGGTCTCCACTGTGCCCACTCCAGGTACTGGATTGAGACTACAGGCCAGATTCAGCCTGCTGGGAAAAAAGGTTGAGCACCACTGACATGAGAAAACTGCAGTGTCTCAACTCTTACAGCATGGGGTCAAGCAGATCCTAGCCTGCTGATTTAGCTAATCATCCCTCCTCCCCATCTGCCATCCCAAGTTCTCTCTCACTGCTCTCTCCATTTTCCCCACTGTCTTTACAGGATCATTCTTGTACCTTGTAAGAAACACAGTTCAAACCACATTCACCACTAGGGTAAAATACCATGAGTTTCAATGGTGAACAAGATTCACAGATTCGCATAAGGAGATGTGCTTACCTCTTACTGAGAACTGCTCTTGGTCTCCAAGTTCATGCATTTGGAGGAAGGGCCAAACTCTTCTTTTTTCTGTCATGTTGTTCAGACCAAACCAGATAAAACAATGATACCTTTAGGTATTGCCCCATGACAAAAGCCAGTGATAAACAATAACCTCTACTTCGCAACCCAAATACAACCAAGGGGTCAATACACAACGAGTGACATGAGTAGGACACTGGCACAGTTAAGCGCTCACACCCTTTGGCATGTCAGTGAGCACATCTGGAACATAGGACTGGAAGTGACCTACAAGGTCCCCGAATCCTGTTCTCTGCTATTGTAGGCACCCCATTCTATAGCATCTTTCATTCCCCTCATAATAAAACAGCAGTGAACATGCCTGGTGATTCACGAATAACCCAAGATCTCACAGCATCGGTTTTGCAAACACCTTAGAATAAGTCCCTTCTGCAGGTCACCTGTCCTAGAGAGACTGTGATGCTGACAGAGCAAAGTGGATTTAATTCCAACTTTATTTAAATATTCACCTCTCATTAGGAGATTTTGGAGAGACAGCTCTCATTCAAAGTTATTTCTGGTGGAGCTATCTATTTAAATGGCAGTTTGCTGTCTAGATCTCTTTGGCAGTTTTCACCATCTCTGCCTTCTGCATATCTTGGCTATGGTACCATAGGGTGGTAAACAAGGAAGTTTTCAAAGTGCTCAGCACTGTCCTTGCTCTGTCCCTCCCGAAGCCAGGCACATTTTACCATTGGTTTCAATGACCATAGAGTTAGATAAATGCTGAGCACTTCTGAAAATCCCACCTTACAAGTACATGTGCTGAGGTCACTCTCTAGTGACTGAATTACCAGGGGAGCAAAGGCCCTAGTGCCAACAGACATGCTTTATGTAGAAAACCCTTGTGATTCTGGAGCCAAAGGTCACGGGTTCTAGCTTCTGTTAGTAGTGTACATATTGTAGTGTAATCACTAGCTTGAACCAATCTGGAGAAGGATACATGTTTGGTTATTCTTAAATACACTGTTTACATACACACTGACAAAGACATACTTGTTACATCATCTATATACATGCCTACTCAGACTATGTACAAAACCCTCCAGCCCTTTCTAAGTCTCAAGAAAAAGTCAAATGTACTGTAGCTTACAGGTAACTGAAGCTCCTGTTCTGCATATTTAAACTTCTTCTGTTTGTAGTAATCCCGTTGTGAAAGAAAGTGCAGCAGGAGCAGGTCACAGAGCACAGATGCCTTCCATGAAACAGAACAAGACACATAAGCCAAACCACAGCGATGGTCACATCTCAAGCATCAGATCACCCAGCCCACCCTCTCTCCGCTATCCCAATACACAGGAGTCACTTCAGCTACTTTAGATGTGGAATTCGGTAGCCACTTTACAGTGACCTGCCATACTACACCTCAGCTTAGGATAGAAGTGAAGTGTGAAGGATTCAGAACTGGGAAATTTACCAAATTTACTCAAATCTAAGACTATCCCGAATTTAAGACAACCTCCCAATAATTAGTTTCTTTACAACTTATACATTTATTATAGTTTCCCATGTATAGAATTTATTTATTGGAGGATCATCTTTAATTAATATCCCCCACCGCTGCAGAGGGGCAGGCAGTGGGGAGGCATGTGGCATGGGAAATTAAGAAGTTTGCCCCTTGCTTCTGCCTCCCATAATCCTCTACTCTCCCCCTTCACCCCCAGCCTCTGCTCCCCCAACTCTTCCCCAGCCTCTACTCCATGCTGGAAGACACCGTCCCTGTTCTAGCCTGGGGCACTGAGCATGGCTCCAGCCCAGCCCCTGTAGCAGCCATGCAAGGCTGCATGACACTGCTGCAAGGCTGGACTAGTGCTGTGCTCAGTGCCCCAGGCTGCAGTGTGCACAGAGCCTGCTGGCACAGAGCAAAGGGGGATTGAGAGAGGTAGGTGGGAGAGCAAAGGTGGCATGGGGTGGTGGTGGTAGGGTGCAGAGGTGGAGCGGGGCAGGCAACAGGTGCAACTATGGCCCTGACCCTGGGTAGGGGCTGTAGCCTGTCACAGCAGCCATCTACCCCTCCCCCATCCCCATTTGCAATTATAAGGCAGGGGGCTTCCCCCCCCCCCCAATGTTACAAAGGGGAGCAAAAACCTTGTCTTAGAATTGACTAAAGTCAGTAGATAGACAAAATGTAAGAAACTTAACGTGAACTCAAGGCTTGAGCCAAATTCTAACATCCTGGATACTGCAAAAAGTACTGCGTGGTCTCTAAGGATCACAAAGCAGGCAAGTTCTTGGTTTTGTGTCTCATTTGAATGTCAGTACCGTGTCCCCAGACATCATGCTGGGATGTTGTTTCAGTGCATATTCAGAAGAGAGAGCTCTTACTATCACTTCTACTGTAATACCTGCCCTGGCATCCTCTGCGGGAGTTTCCCATCAAAGTATTTTTCTACTGAGTTCCCTTATTTGAATGGATCTACAAGACTACAGGCAAGCTATCACATCATCTAATAGTAATCCCCATTGGCCTATGGTTTTTTAATGATCAATTTGGATACATTAGATCCATTGTGATGCAAGGTTTCTGCCCTCTTCTTTTGCCCTATTGATACTGAAGGAGCTCTGGGGATGCCTGTGCACCGCTGGCATTTTGCTAGAGCTCTAGGCCCCTTCCACTTCAATGCCTCATACAAGCAGAGTCGTTTGAGAGCTCACACATGAGAGCCCTAGAAATAGCAGAACTTACCACTCCAAAAATGCCAATTCCAGAGCCGATTGTGGTCATCGTTGGGATAATGTCAAATTTACCTGCCTGAATTAAATCACAGAAAACAGACAGCCTAGCAGTATAGAGCAAAGGAATCACACAGCACAAAGGTCTGGCTATGAATGGCACTACAGGAGTTCATCACCTCTCACAGACAGGCAGGACAAGTGCATTGGTTCTGCGAGAGTAGCTGATTTCTGGGTTTGCTTACCAAAACCAAAAAATAAAGGAAATAAATCACTTTGGATCAAGCAAAACATTGTTTTCCTCTGTATTTTTTCCCCTTTAAGCCCTTTTTATTATTTCAGTTAGGTAAATTTTAAAACAAACAAAAAAACTCATTCCAAAATTCAGCCCATCCTAAGCAGGACTAACTATCATTCAACCATCTCCTTCTGAGTCAAAGACCTTGACATGCACTAAATTTTGATACTGGGGTAAAACACAGAGTTATGTGCAAATTGAAAGTGAGTCAGAAAACTACTGGGGAAAGAGCTATGAACTCATCTGAATTCATGGGAGATGTTACCTTTCCGTTGACCAGAATGTCAAACCGGATCCCAAACACTTTGTACAAATTCCTCCGATTGATTCCACCGTCACTGTAGTATTTGGCATACCTTTCCAAACAGAGAAACAACACATATAATGGCTTTTCATGGACTTGTTAAAAAAAAACCCCAAAAACAAAAAATGGAAGCACAACTGAACTACTGTCAGCCAACTGCAAAACTGACATACTGAAGTCTTTGGGGACTCCTGGGCAGAGCAATGGCCCGAGACTCAGAAAGATCTAATTCTTGGATCTGCCACTGACCTTCTGGATGACATTGGAAAACTGCCCTTTACCTCAGTTTCCCCATTTGGAAAATGGGTATAATGATACTGACTTTATTTGTAAAACATTTTGCCATCTCCCAGGAGAAAATGTTACAAATGAGCTAGCTACTTATTATCATGACCTACTAAGTGAAACTACAAAGCAAAAAACAAACAGAAGAATTAACTGAAATTTAATTGCTGGCTGAATTAAAATGAGTTAATCCACTCCTGTTTGAATGCATTTTTGTTCTTTTGTACCACAGAGCGTACTATGCTCCTGCAAGAACATTCAGTATTAGTATGCACAGGACTCGCAGGCATTGTTTTCACTATTGGTCAGGTATAGCACAAATACGATAAACAAATGGGTGCGTTTTGCACTGTGTGTGGCTGCACTGTAGGGCTGTGTGACGCTTTGGTCCCTGATTCGATTCAGCGGAGATTCGGCTCGATTCGGTGGCCAAATATCTCAATCCGAATCAAATCAGAGGACCCTTTAATCTCTCCAAATTGAATTGGAGCCTTCCAAATTGATTTGGAGAGGTTCGGACACGGACACAGCTTCAAGGTACCAGGCGGCTCATGAATGCTGAGACTGTGGGGTGAATGGAGTGTCCCACAGAAGCACTTCTGGTCCACTTCCAGGTCCGCCAGGGAGCCATCGGCTCAGTGCCTGGTGTCTCCTGGGTCTGGGGGGACGCTCCATGTGCCCCAGCATCGCGGCGTTCACGAGCCACACCTGCTAGCTTGAGGTATGTAGAAAAAACTTTTAAACTGTGTCTGTGTCCAAATTGCTGATTCTCTGAATCAGCATCGAATCTTCAGATTCGGATTCAGCCGAATTGAACCAGGGACAGTGATCCAGATCAATTAATTGAATCACTGTCCCTGATTCAGGCCGAATCCGAATCCAAACTGAATAGGGCCTGCTTCGCACACTCCTACTGCACAGCTTCTTGTGGCATTGGACTGAAAACCCTGCACCACTAATAGCTAAAAGGATGCAGGGTGTGAATGTTTGATCATCAGGGATCCTGGTTTTCTCTGTTTAAAAAATCCAAAATTCTCTGATTAAAACCCCCCAAATCAGTATTTGTCTGTGTTTAAAATGAAACACCACTATATATAGATATCTATATCTATACATACATATATATATATAGAGAGAGAGAGAGAGAGAGAGAGGTATCAGTTGAACACAATGTTTGATTGATCTATTTACAATTTTTAAAGAAATTTGGAAGCCTACCAGTGCCTCAATCATTATCTATAATAATAATAATAATAATAATAGGCTTATTCTGTCTGTCTGGAATTTGGGGAGAGGAGGAGGTAGGAAGAGGACAAGAAGAAATCATTTAAGGACAGGGAAGTGCAAACTACTTTTCAGAGTCTGCTCTTTGGCATTGCAAGGACAGCATTCATTTTGGTAATGGAGAAAATAATACCCAGAAATCCAGGACACTGCTCCCCCACCCCATGTTCTCACACGTTCTCAGGGGCAGGGCTGGATGCTGGGCAGGCAGTGGTGCCTGCCTGTCTGCAAGGTGCTCTGCACTGCTCTGACTCCTGGCCAGACTGTGCCTTGCACCCATAAATTTCCAAGATGCCCAATATAATTCCCAACAGCCAGCCAGAACCAGCCTCTGAAATTTGAGACTGTCCCAGCTAAAATGGGACATATGGTCACCCTACCTGTAAAGTGCCTTGGGATAGTAGAAGATGAAAAGAAAGCCACATATGAAGTCCTGTTGGGAAAAGATCTCTCATACCTGAAGTTGAAGCCTGGTGAAACATTTGTGTCACTATTATAAAGTCCATGAAACTCATAAATGGGTTTACAGTAAGTTGCAGGCCAGTCAAGGTCACAGTTCCAATCTATGGTGATGCCGACAGCCCCACCCTACAATCAAAGTTGCAAAATATCAATGTTCTCATCATGCAGACACTTGTTTTCAGGCCATTTATCTGCCTTTTAGTTTAGCTCTTTTGTTTGCAAAAAGAAGCTCTTTCCATCTCCACAAACTCACTTTTCAAGGAGGCTGTCAGAGGTCCAAACTGTAATGATACACAAATCCTGCCAATTTATTCTTCTCTCTTTATATTCAGTGATGTAGGACTTCCACTCTGTACCTATCATGCAGACTAACCCATCGTGACATCCTAAGACTCATTTGCTATGGCCATGCCTGGGAAGACATTCATAGGACTTTCTCTTTCTCCCACGCTCTCTCATATTGTCTCATTTGGTACGATATGAAGAGTTAAAGAAATCCTGATGGCAGCATGTGGGGGCTTGGTAAGGCTGGCTACAGTGACAAGTGCTGCACTCCTACAATGCTTTGCATTGCTCCCTTTCATTCATTCAATAACCTGTGTCCAAGTGCACGGCTATAAGAAGCTATAAACCTGGCTACTAATGCCAAAGACTGCAGGGTGTGTGTCAAAGCCCAAACTGATTGCTTCAAAGCATGTCAGCTCCTAAACAGGGAAGTCTGGTCTATTTAACAACCGCTATACTCCTCAATCCATCGGAGGAGGCTACCGCTTCAGTCAAAGCACAAAAGAAACAGAAACAAGGGAAGTCTAGTGTGCAGCCCCTACTTCTACACATGCAGCAACTCGCATGGATTGATTCAGTGTTGTTTACTAGCCTTCTCACGCAATTCAGCAAATCAACATCTGGTACCCTACTTTTGTGGGTTGCTACATTAAGAGCTATTGGGAGGTCAGGCTTGGACTGCAAGAAATAAATCCAACTCTTGTGGCTGGGAAGGAGATAGGACAAGTTAGGGCACAGACGGTACACTGGTTTCACAAGGTCATTTTTCACATAACCAGTAGAGTAACACTGACAGGGTATCCTCAAAACACTTGGTACCTCCTTCTTCTTCTTTGTGGGTCAGTACTAACATGTAGGCAGGTGACTTGTGCATGTGCCTGGGTGGAGGTAGAGAGGTTGTCACGAACAAAGAGCAATAAAGGAAGCAGCCTTGGCTGAAGCCATAATAAACTCCTTGCTATTCAGGTCAAACAGAATGAGATAGGTGGAGACTGGCTACTCTATTTATTTAAAACCTTTTTAATGCAACTTCCCATAACGTGCATTATCAGCAACCCGGCAAATAAACACAATCAGTAACCGGAGTATGAAATAACCTTTTCTGACCTGTATTTGCAGATTACATCACATTTCCCTGCAGCTTAAACCTGTTGCTAATATGATACTGCAGGACAACCCTGTTGGTTTCGTTTTTCTGAAGGCTCAGTTCTGTGGCGGGCTCAATATACCAAGTATCAGAAATACGGGTCCAGACATTAAAATAACAAGGACATGAGAATTGGCTGATGATGACCTTACACAGGGTATATAATAGGCAGGTCCTAGATCAACGGGACTTCACCAGCTTGTTGTCTAAGGATCTTCCTTGTGCATCATGATGGGGCAATAACTACGGGGAAACGTTAGGGCAACCTGTGGATATCTGAAGGGATCAAACTGTCACAAATGGAGAAGGAATTATTTAAGGTAGAGCAAAGGAGGATTAACAACGGGACAAGAGAGAAAAAGGATATGCTGCATCCCAGATCAAGAGAAACTTCTTCAAAATGAACTGGATTCACCTGTAGAATATTTTCCTGCCAAAATATGACATTTAAAACTCAACTGGATCAGAGGCTAGAATACAGCACACTCTGATTCCCAGAGTTAGCTAACTGGGACTTAATAGGTTTTCTTTTTCTTCTTAAACACCTTTTAGCAGCTATAGCTATGGTTGTATTTAATGTTACTTATTACACTTCAGTGATGCAAAAATTGCAGCTCTGGACACGCTATGCAAATACCAACTGACATTGAAGGGAAAGTCTGCATACAATCAAATCTTGTAAAGAACATGCCATTGTGGAGTTTTCCTGGTTTGACCTTTAGGCTGGGGTTTTAAAAACCCAAATACATAGGATTTAGGCCTCCAAATTCCTTAGTTGGTTTTAGAAATCACAAAGGAATTGTCTCTGGGAGAAGTGCTGCCAGTCTTACAATGGCAGATTCACTACCACGGAAGATGTCAATATTTCGTCACTTCCACAATTGCAGACATCCTCTGTATAGATTCATAATACTTTGAGCACAACTTCATGCAAATCTGTTGAACAGCAGGCTGTAAAGATCTGGATGGCTCAAAGGTGACAGTTTGATTCATCTCAGGTATCCCCCCTACCTGCCCACTACAGAAGCAAAATGTCAGATGGGATCTACATACCTCATGGGCCAATGTTGTGAAACTTTGACCTGATTCTTTTACTATGTATCCCAGCTCAAACAGGGGACATAACGGATGGTCGACTTTGTGATAGATGCAGTTTTTCATATAGTTATTGTCAACCGCTTCAACAAGGTTGCGTCTGTGAATTTAAAAAACAAAGAACCTGGCTATTCTTAAAATGGCATGTGCTAGCTTCTTATTAGCTACTGGGTAGATGATAAGGATTCCCGAGAAGCTTCGGTTCCACTTAGGATTTAGCATGTTTAAAGTACTCATCCCTCATCCCCTGCTATCATGAGTATACTCATGAGTATACTCCCCCACCCTCAGATTTTCTAGCATTTTGCACCCAATGGAGCAAGTGCTTCTGGATCTCTGACAATCTCAAAAGTCCTTGCTGCCAGACTTGCAGCTTCTTAGGCAGCTCTTTCAGGATTCTGGGGTGGAAACTATTCAGTCCTCTTTGAGCTCTGACCAGTCCGAGCATTTTAAAGTTTGTTCTGTGGTATTTTCCGTTTCCATAGCCTTATTCCCCTTAGCTATCCTGCTTCTAACACTGTGTTCATCATTATCGTCCTGATTGAAAAACTGAGGCAAAGTTCTTGTTCTGGTGCTTTACCCGCTCCCACTCTAGTAATGCGTTTGCACTTTTTTTTCCAGACAATATTAAAAAAGCAAGAGACAGAAAAAGAAGTACATGAACTCTGCTCTCACTGTTCCACTGCATGACTTGCTTCTCTGGTTTTAAGACAAAACTATGGCTTAGACTCAAGTTTTTGCTGGAAAGGCAGCAGGTTTTAAATAGCTGAAGTGCTCCTTATGAACATGTGCTATAAATTTAGGGTCTGGTTTTGTAAACAAGCTAATAACTTTACTCCTGTGTAGCCTCATTGCTCAGAGGCCCTTGGGTCGAGTCCCCATTTTGGTTACTGCACGGTTTGAGAACCAGCCCCGACTCCTACCAATGGTTTGACCTCAGCAACCCGTAACAAATCCAACACTGGACTCAGTGGGTGCGTCTACACATGCAAGTAATCCGGAAGCAGTTTACTCGAGTAAACTACTCAGGAGTAAACTCTCCCGGGCATGTGTCTACACGTACAGGGATGCGGGAGGAGATTTGCTGCTCCTAGCAGCAGACTGTTTCCACTCCCTGCAGCCCTGCAACGGGCCCCTGCAGCAACTAGGGGGAACTCTAGACTCCCCCTGGGTACTAGTCCAGGGGCCAAGAGATAGCGGTCTCCTGGCTGGGGTTGGGACAATGTCTCCCTGCCCCAGCAGCAGGGAGCTCCCAGCCCCCACACCATAATCATGGGGCCTGGGGTGGTGGGGATCCTTATCTCCTAGCATCAGCTCCGCAGTTGCGAGGCCGGCACTAGAAGTTCTTCCTCTCCCAGTGCCAGCTCCATGCATACCTGGCACTGGGAGAAACGAATCTCCCAGTGCCGGCCCCACGACCACAGAGCTGGTATTGGGAGATAAGGATCTCCCAGCCTGGACCCCACAATCACGGAGTGGGGGCCGAGAGCTGCTTGCTGCTGGGGCAGGGAGACACCGTCCCTGCCCAGGCTCCGGTGGTGGAGCCTGGCCTGGCAGCAGGCAGCTCCCAGGAGCAGGGAGCAACCTCCTGCCCCCTGCTGCCTGGGAGCATATTTACTTCCGGTCAGGCATCTACATGTGCGCTACTGCACAGTAAGTAATCTCAAGTAAATTTACTCATGATTAGAGCCAATTCCCATGCAGTAAGCACCTGCATGTGTAGATATGGATGCTTACTGCACAGTAATTAGCTCTACTGCACAATAAAGTGTGTCGTGTAGAAGCGCTCGCTGATAAATAATTATTTTCCGCATAAAAAGAAGACTTTGCGGAATAACAGCAATACAATTCGTGACCTATCACACAACTAAAACATTTACTCACCTGGAGACTTTAAACCTGGGGAAGGTGATGCTGTTCTTAATAAACAAGGTGAAATTTTCAGCTGCTATGAGCAGTGCAGGGCTGGAAAATACAAGTGGTAACAAATGTTTATTGCTCAGTGAGCCAACCTCTAAGTAATTACCATAAAGAGAAGATTAGGTAGAAAGAAATGATATTGGATAGCATCCAAAGTAGAACAGTCGAGACCCAGTGAAGTATTTGATCTTGTTCTGGCCTCTTCTAAGCACAAGGACAAATTCCACAGCATGCTAGGTAAAAGCTAAGAAGCACCAAAAGGAGGAGAGGCATCTGCTGTGCAGAAAAATGCACAATGGCCTTCTCTCAAAGCCTAGTGAAAAAGCCTCCCTTCACTATTCAACATGCTGGCATTTCATTGGGGTAATAATGCCATACAACCCAAGAGGCAATAATGTAAAAGCCAAATTTCCTCAAATTATTCTAGCCATAAATACCACTGGCTGGTACAGAGGACAATGGACCTGATGCATGCTAGGTGGTTTTTGGATGCACACAACTGTACAGCACTTTCTGGCCCAGATTCCTTTATTCCTGGGCAAACATCTACCTCAACAAGCTCAGGTCCCATGGTTGAGGGGGCTCCTACAGATGCAGCAGATTAAGATTTATCGGGGCTCTGGACAAACAGAAAATTGGAGGTCCCCCACCTGGCAAGGGCAGGTTCCCTCTGTCTGCCAGGGGCTGTGGCTGGGTCTGCTCAGTCTCCCTGGCACATCTAGGGCAAGCCGGAGGGGGGGATGGGGCAGGACCCTTGCCAGAGCTGGGGCCAGCCAGGGGAAGGGGGGAGGCCATGGGCTCTGCACTTCCCCCTGGCTGCCCGCTTACCCCTCTGCCAGGCCTGGCGAGGCAGGGCTGTCCCATCCCATCCTGTCCCAGTGGCACTGGTGCCGGTGGCTGCCCGCAGATGATGGAGAGCGGCAGTAGGAGTGGGGTTGCCCATGGGGCATCCTGGAAAAAGACAGCCCCCGGAAGCTGCCACCACCCACATGGAGCTCCGTGCCTGCCCAGGCCGTGGTGCCCCCGATTGGCAGAGGGCCCTGAACCTGAGCCCTGCGGGCCCATGCATTAATCTGCCCCTATACAGATCCTCCCTCTTCTCTGTGATGAGATCCCTTCCAGCCTCAGAAAGGACAGGAAGCTCTCCAGCCCATATCCAAGACTCCAAGAATCCTCACTATTCAGGACTGGGGGAAAGAGGGCCCAGCTGAAACTCTGGGGCAACAGTATATCCCAAAGCCCATCAGCATCTGAGTGAGGCTGCACAGCTATCCACTACTGGTCCTAGCCTGCACAAAGGAGAAACAAGTGCCCAACACTTGACCCACAGGGTGCTGTAGCCTAGAGTCCTCTAGGAGTGGGAGCACTGCAGGATGGGCAGAGACTCAGCAACTCTAAATTGCCCAGATGTGTGAATCCAAAAAGGAAGACTGTGAGCTACCACTGGAAGACAAGGACCTGAGACAATCTGGGGCATCTGATGTCATCCACAAAATGCTACAGAGAATTTCCTAGTTATCTAGATAGATGGACAGAGAGACGGATAGACAGACAGAATGCTTGGGGCGGGGGGGGGGAGCAACTCCTTCTGCAAAAGGGGACCTGCCTCTATCACCCTTCACCAAGGATTTATTTACTCCCCTGCAAAGCTGTAGTTAGATGAGTTAGGGCCAAATTTTTTGGCAAGCGTGCCCCAATTTGTTCTGTGCTCGCTTTGAGTGCCACTCTGATCCCTTTCCCTTATTTGATCTACTGCTTTCTGATTCCTGCCTTGTGCTTCCGGCCTGGTGTGATGCTCTGTTTTCTGCTCCGTGCCCTGTCCCCTGGGATACCTCTGCTGCCTGTCCCCTCCCCATCTGCTGAGTGCCATTGCACAGAGGTTGCTTGTGCCACTTGTGGCACCCATGCTGCAGGTTGGCTACCCTAAGCTAGATCACCATGCAGCAGGGTCAAATTTGGTCTGTTCAGAGTCAGAAAAAACAGCAAAGTTTAGCCAGAAACGGCAGTCATTAGTGACTGGTCTTATGCCTGGGCAAAGCCTAATTTTATACCAGTAGTGGCAATACCCCTTTCATGCAAGCTGGGAAATTGGAATGATGTGTGAAATAATTCCTTACTCGGGAACATGATCGTCTACTTCTAAAGGGCACCAGCCAAATATCTCACAGGTCTTGACAGTACTGTTGAAATCTATGCACTTCCCAGTCATGATACCTGAAGAAAAGAGGTGAGAGTTCATACTCACCATTATAGCAGAGGAACGTCCAGCAAATAGATGTGCTTGTCATCAAGCTCACATCTGAGGCCCTTAGACATGACTTAAGGGATTGGGGTTCAAGTCCCAGCCTTGTCAAAGGCTCCTGTGACAGAGACTCTCAAGCACAGATCATTTAATCAATTAGTGGCTTGGTTCCCAATTTATACAAAGGGCATAATCATCCGTGTCTATTAGATTTTGGGGGCATGACCTGGGCTGAGGCCCATAATTTAGTACTTACCTTGTCCCTTACGTTTGTACTCCCCTTTGGGGCAGTCACTATCAGAACGGCAACGTCCCGCATGTGGCAGCTGTTTTGAGAAAGAAAGCAGATATATCTCAGTGGTTCAGATGGGGAGCAATATCTCCCTGCATACTCCATGGGAAAGCTCTCCTCAAGCTGCCCAGCAGGGAACTGCAGTTGTCTTTAGACTAAGGGCTTGTCTACATGGGGACACTCAGGGAACTTAATCTTCAGTAAGTAAAGGCATGAATTCAAAGTGGATTAGTTAAACCACAGTGAAATAGCCTTAATTCTGTTTAGCTTAATTCAGCTTGGAAGGAAAGGAAGCAAAACTGAATGAAAGCCACTTTAATTCTGAGTAAGTTCTTAGTATGTCCACACAGGGATCTAATACAATTTAACTAATCAACTTCAAATTTTAATTTTAAAAAATTTCCTGACTGCATGTGCAAACAAGCACTGCCGTACTCTGACAATGTGGTTTATCAAGATGCATTAGCATCTCTCCAGCTAGCTTAGCTTAACTGAGAACAGCCGTACCTTGAAATAACCCTTGGTCTCCACTGATGACTGCACCAACAACTGACACGTTGAGCTAACTTGAGTGTTCCTCCTTCACCTTGGAGAAAGCAGTCAGCTCAAGGTGAAAGCACCCAGACAGACGAGCATTGGAGGATGGAGAGAAAGGACAGTTTCCTGGATTTTGTCACCGATTTGGCGTAAATGTAAAATTAAAGGAAATGAGTCGTGGGATGGGAGCAAATATGAAGTGGTCTTATTTACCTCAGGGCACGTATCTTGTTTCTGTCCATGTGTGATAATGAAGTTAGTCATCACCACAAAAGAACTGTCCCCCTACAAAGAAGAAGATGGTAAGATCAAAGGTGAAGACATTTTCAAGGATTTCTTCCTGTTACTGGGCAGGGGGTCGGGCACCAACCTCCCATTTAACTGTAGGCCAGAAGGTGCCTAGGCTAGACACGTGCTGGCAGGCACAGTGCGAGAGAGATGCCTTCCTCCTCTATTCAGACTGGTCTTTACCCTCCTACCAATCTCTCTAGATGAAGACTTTGATGTGGTTGCTAGTAAGAGGAAAGCACTCTCTCATGGGCAGGAGAGATGCTACCATGGGGAGCAGCACCAGGAAAAGAGAGCAATAGGGCAACTATACGACCTTGTTTGGCCAGGACAGTCCTGGATTCCCTAGGCCAGTCCTGGCTGGTCGGTCAAAAGTCCCAGACCAGAGCTGAGCGAGGAGGAGGAGCAGTGTGGTGCACCAAGCAGGTGAGCAAGCAGGCACCACTACCACTGTGTGGGAGCAAGGCATGTAGCGACCTCGGAGATGGCATCTTAGTGTGCCCACATTGCTCCTGCATAGTGGCAGTGGCGCCTGCCCACCTGCCTGCCTGGTGCACCATGTCGTTCCACCAACACGCTGGACTCCGGCCCAGGACTTTTCACCAGCTAACCAGGACTGGTCTATGCAATCCAGCCAAACCAGGACATGCCACCCTAGATAGAAACCAAGCATCACCTAACCAGATACGGAGTCAGAGGCCTCCAGTAACTAGCTGCAATGTTCTGTCCCCTGGGATACCTCCATTTGGGCTGGCATGGGGAGCTGTGCCCCTCTGTGGCCACATCAGTTGTTTGAATTGCTTGCCTTGGAGAGCAGCAAGGGGATTCCCAGCTCTCAGAAGTAGAGTCTTTGAAGTGCCCTGTTAGTGTAAGGGGGAAGTTTGGGCCTGATCACAAAACACCTCTGAACAGCAGGAAGGAGAGAGTTAGACAGAAGTAGAGAAGATGGGGAAGGGGAGGGGCAGGGAGAGGGGAAAGAAAGATCTTTTCTAACATTTATCCAGTGTGTCGAAACACTTGTGGTTCAATGGCCCACTTAGGCTTCAGCACAAAGTGAACTGCAACTCTAATCATGAGCGAGCAGTAACTTGGAAGTGCTCGGCACTGATGAACAATAACTTCTATTTCCTATGGCAGAGCTTTCCAAACTGTGTGCCGCGACACATTAGTGTGTCGGCAGCAGTGTGTAGGTGTGTCGCGCGAAATGCAGAAAATTTTGCAGAAGGGCACCGCGGAGCTCCCTTACTTGCGTCTGCTTCCCTTGGCCCCTCCCCCGGAACTGAATTACTGTGTCGCAAAATGATGCATGTCTAAAAAGTGTGTCACCAGCATGAAAAGTTTGGAAAGCTCTGTCCTATGGACTTGAAGAGGAAGTTACTGAAGCTCAGCGCCGTCAAAAGTCAGGCCCTCAGGGGAACGCAGAAGTATCGCTCTTTTAGACACTGGAAGACAAGCTGCTTTCAAGGAGAGGCTGTAGACTTAGGAAGCCATTTGTTAGCTCCCTCCCCTCTGCAAAGTGCTGACAAAGGGCAGTAAGAAGAATAAAAACCCTCCCTCTTCCTTACCTGAGGTGGAAAAACATAGTCGGCCACATCCCAGATGTGCGGGCCCATCCCACTTATATTAGTGAGAGCTAAACCTTTGAGTTTCACTGACACTGAGCTGATGATGCCATCCCGGGACTGATAACCCTTCTCGTACAGGAAAACCCACCTAGGCAAACAAAGTAATACATATGAGTCACTGTGTATCACATTCCTTAGACCCATAGTTGAGCATCTGCCATCTGGACAGTTACCTGGATGGTGCAGAACGGGCTCCATGTGAATGAGAAAAGTGGAGATACTGCAGGAAGAATATCATAGAATCATAGAAGAAGGGTTGGAAGGGACCTTGTAGATCTTCAGGTCCGTCCCCCTGCCTGGGCAGGAGGGAAACTGGGCTCAAGTGACCTCAGCCAGGTAGGCATCGCACCACTTCTTAAAGACCCCCAGGGTAGGAGCCAGCACCACTTCCCTTGGAAGCTGGTTCCAGATCCTAGCCGCCCTGACTGTGAAGTAGTTCCTACGGATGTCTAGTCTGAACCTACTCTCCAACAACTTGTGGCCGTTATTCCTTGTTATCCCGGGGGGGGCGCTAGGGGAAACAAGGTCTTCCCCCAAACTCTTCTGGTTCCCCCTAGTGAGTTTATAGACAGCCACAAGGTCCCCCCTCAGCCTTCTCTTGTGAAGGCTGAACAGGTTCAGGTCCCGTAGCCTCTCATTGTAGGGTCTGCCCTGCTGTCCCAGGATCATGCGGGTGGCCCTCCTCTGGACCCTCTCAATGTTGTCCACATCCCTCTTGAAGTGGGGTGCCCAGAACTGGACACAGTACTCCAGCTGTGGCCTGACCAGTGTCACGTAGAGGGGGAGGATCACCTCCTTGGCCCTACTTGAAATGCACCTGTGGACGCACGATAGGGTCCTGTTAGCCCTGCCGACCGTGACCTCGCATTGTTGGCCCATGTTCATCTTGGAGTCAATGATGACTTCCAGATCT